GAAAGAGCGTGCCATTGGGATGAAAAACAATTAATTTGGCGAATCTTAATGACCTATATAGTATAATATCGGCAAATCTGAATATAAAATTACGTATTCCAGACGATAAACATTACAGGACATGTGTTTTTAGAAAGCTAATAACTAAGCATCGTGTTTTCCACTCGGATGAGCTCTGATGTGCCTTAAGAATGTTTAAATTGTATCGATATATTTTAGACGTATCGATGTATTAATGCAAGAGATAAATATCGATTACGAAGATCAACAATCATTAAAATAAAATACTTCTCACTGGTCTGTGATACAGGGTTGTTCACCACATACGACACGGAGTATTGTAGCTAAACGATGAGATTTTTACAAATTGTAAGTTTTGGGTTCGATGAAGGACTATTAGAGGTACAATTTAAAAATAATTTTACAAGATACAGAGTGTCCCAAATAAGTAAAAAATATCAAAGTTGTATTTTTTAAATGGAACACCCTGTATATTATTGCATTTTTAGCTTCTACGATTAAAATAAAGGTAAATTTGATTAAGGCTTATTACACTTAAACCTTGCCGTTTTTGAAATATTTTGAATTTTGTAAAATTGCAGTATAAATTTTACGGCTTCATTTCTCCGAGGGTATCAAAGTTTTTAATACTAAATATTTACTGAAGTTTATTTATTGATCAGTTATTGTGTTGCAATAATAAAAACTTTACTACCTTATACAGAGTGTCTAAAAATTTATTTTTAATAATTACTAGCTTTAAACGGCAATAACTTGTTTAATTTAAACGGAACACCCAGTATATTTTTTAAGAATCAGATGCACAAGTTAATTGTCTATCAAATTGTATTATATCATTTTTTACCTATCTCTTCAAGTTTCCGTAGAAAATTCATTTTCTTGTAATGTAGAACTCATTTATCAATATACCCATATATATACTGACATTTTAGATTATTTTTAAAGATGTACCAAATTTTTAAAGAGTACAGATACTAATATAGTCGATATAGTTTGTTTATTTTATTAAAAAATAAATAAAAAACTGTTAAAATATTTGTTAAAGAGTACCAATTAATATGATTCCAGTATTCAAACTACATTAATTGACTTGTTTGTGTTGATTAATAATAATTGATCCAAATACTAAAAAACTAAATTATGTATGTGTATCAGACAGTGTGGTAAAAATTAACACCTTAAAAATGATATTTAATTTTCTGACAAATGCTTATTTATAACAACAGAGACGTTCATTTTCATAACTTATTATTTTATTGATTTCTGATTCAAATCCACATTTATTTAGAATAATTTATTAGCGAACACAATTAAGTATGTAGTCAATTAGTACCGTATGATCGAAAAAAAATGGCGTCCAGTTGGCTGGGAAATGAAGATCGCTGTCATTTTAAATGTAAATTTATATGGGAAATGCCATCGATCGTCATTTCTCAGCCAACTGGACGCCGTTTTTTCTCGATCATACGGTATTTGGGCGGAAATACTGGTGGTATATTTAAATAATGGTATACTCTTTTATAAAGATTTAAATAGTTCACTAAAAACGGTAATATTACTAGCCTGTACATTTTGTACATTTGTTGTTTTAAAAACAATCTAAAATGTCAATATTCCACGGGTATATTGATAAATGAGGTCTAAATTATAAGAAAATGCATTTTCTACGAAAACTTGAAGATATAGGTAAAAAATGGTATAATACAATTTGATAGACAATTAAATTGTGCATCTGATTCTCATAAAATATACAGGGTGTTCCATTTAAATTAAACAAGTTATTGCCGTTTAAAGCTAATAATTATTTAAAATAAATATTTAGACATTCTGTATAAGGTAGAAAATTTTTTATTACTGCAACAGAATAACTGATCAATAAATAAACTTCAGTAAATATTTAGTATTAAAAACTTTGATACCCTCGGAGATATGAAGCCTTAAAATTTATACTGCAATTTCACAAAATTGAAAATATTTCAAAAACGGTAAGGTTTAAGTGTAATAAACCTTAATCAAATTTACCTTTATTTTAATCGTAACAACTAAAAATGCAATAATATAGAGGGGGTTCCATTTAAAAAAATACAACTCTGATATTTTTTATTTATTTGAGACACTCTGTATCTTGTAAAAATATTTTTAAATTGTAGCTCTAATAGTCCTTCAACAAACCCAAAACTTATAATTTGTAAAAATCTAATCGTTTAGCTACAATATTCCGTGTCGTATGTGGTGAACAACCCTGTATATTATAAAAATATAAAAAATACATGGAGAGAATTATTGGCCTTAGATAGCCATAGATTCGAGGTGATATTAAATACTGGAGCCAAACCTGTAACATCCCTTGTAATGGTAGATTTTCGCTGCAGACTCTACAGGGTGAGTCTTAAATAAGTGCAAATATTTTCAGGGTTGGTAGATCTCGTTAAAAGAAACATATTTTCTTAATTAAGTCCAAAATAACCGATTTATTTTACTTATTTTACTATGTTTTTGACAAAAAGTTAAAAAAAGTCAAAATTGTTCGCCAAAAAAACTTCAAAGACGTGTTTCTGGGGTCGAAATAAACCACCCCTAAAAATATTAGCACTCGTTTAAGACTCACCCTGTATATCAAAGAACCACAAACAATAAGATGCGATCTTTGTGACTATATGAGGAACTGGACTTCAAAAGACAACAGGCCCATGGGGAACAAAAAAAAGACACAGGATTTTAGATAATCACTGTGTAACCAACATGTATGATAGCGTCTAAAAATGAATATGCCGAGACGACGACCGTTCGTGCTATGAACGGCTGATGTCGAGGACGGAGAGCTGGCTTCTGTGGAGCCGTCTCAGATACTGGTTTCTGTTAAAGCCCTGAGACTGTATGATGGGTTATAACTCGTTATAACTCAAGAAAGGGGATCTCACAATAGATCTCTAAGGTCGCGGTGATTAAGTACTCTTCTCCTAAACATTCTACATTCTACAATGCAACAGACTAAAATGACGAGTCTTCTACTGAAATATTCACATCCATAGAGAATAGTCCAGTATCGATATTTAAAAAACCTCGATACCGGACCGGGATTGGTATCTTATAAAGATGTATCGATACTGGAAATGTCGATATCGATTTTTTTTAGAGGCGAATATCCCTAGCTCGTAAAAGCGTCTGGAATACGGCCCGCCAAAAAGCGTGCCAGAGGGCGCTCATATCACGACGTCGTAAATGTCAGAAGCACAAGCTGGCGGCTATGGGGACCGTGTCGCCATATCAGGGACGGCGCGGCGCGCGCCTTTAGCCCCATACAGAACCGAATCTAAGAAAGTCAAAAGGAGAAATATCTACATTGTTTGGTAGGACAGCTCCGAACTGCACATTTTTTCAACTTTCGAAATTCTAATTATTATTTTGCCAAAAAAATCAAGGCATCGCACTGATATGGAATGTATTTTCTGCAGTTTCTTCTTCAGATTGACTGACGTAGTTTTTTGATGAAATATTAAGGCAGGAAAGAACACACCGTTCAGTTGCCATCTTCACAGACAGTCCACCGGCTCTAAAAGCACTCGGTTCCACTGAGGTCAATTTTAGTCAAATACATTGTTTTTCAAATTCATACATTTTTAGAGATCAGAAGATAACCACAATAGATCAGAAAAGGTCGCAATGAAACAGCACTTCAAAAATCTAATCTCTGACAGTTTTTGCTTATGAGGTCTTAGAGGGTTCTACTATAAACGAAGAATTAGCAGCGCCTTAAGAGCATCCTGGAAATTAAAAGAGAGAGTTTTCTACAATCATGACCTGAGCAGAGAAAAGAAACTTACAGTGTACCGCCGGCACATAAACCCTTTAAACAAGTTGCAACAGAAACACCTTAGACAACTGTTAAGAATTAAATGTCTCAAACGTATCGGTCCGTCAAAAAACTAGCTGCGATAGCGCTGAAGTCATGATTGCTAAATCCCACTTTTGGTGGGCTGGTCACGTATGCAAGAAAACCGCCTACCAAAATCTCTCCTTTAGGGCGAGCTTGTAGACGGTAAGAGGAAACCGGGTGGACAACTCAAAAGGTACAAGTGCAGAAGAGATATAACATCGCGTATCGAGCTTTTTAGTCACAGGAAAGCCCATGAAAGAAGATGCCTTGCGTAACCATCTTCTAATGGGTGTCAAATACTCGTCAGCGAGTAATGGCAGTAACGAAGTAAGTATGAACAAAGAAAGTCTGAAGTGGCAGTGGATAGGACATGTGGCAAGACAGGATTCAGACCGATGGCCCCAAAAAGTAATCCTATGGAGACCTAGGGGAACAACAAGAAGTGTGGGCCGACCAAAAAAGAGATGGGTCGATGACGTCAGGGCAGTGGCGGGAAGACAATGGATAAGATTGGCTAGAGATCGCGAAGCATGGAAAAACCTAGAAGAGGCCTATATCCAACACTGGATGGAACCAGGCTGAGAAAGAAAGAAGATGAACAAAGAGCTAAACTTTGTAATTTTTACGGACTGTATATTTTGTTCGATAGAAATATAATAAAAGTCTATTCTGATCAGGAACAATAGAAAAAAAATCCTACAGTTAAAAAAGATAAAAGACATAAAACGTACAAGAAATTTATTTCGCTAAAGAAATATAAATGTTAGGTACCATGCTTTTATTGATTTTCAAGTAATACAATTTATGACCATTAATCGATCTTAAATCTCAGATTTAGTTAGTTAATTGCCTTTCCACCAAAGCCAAGAGATTGAAAAGAAAAAAAACTGAAAGAAAAACCCCTGTTTGATCAATAATCGTTTCCAAATTATATCGTTAAATTATTCATTAAAAAAAAGGAATTCTGGTTAAAAATTTCATTTGGAAAAATTTGTTTCTAAGGTATAAAGTTGTTCGATAGAAATACAGAGTTTGTTGTTGTTTGGAAAAAAAGGTGATGTGTAAGTTTGTTTGGGCGAGTGCGGGCCTGGCGCGGCAACAAGGCGCGCGACGCGTCGCGGCGTCGTCGACGGCGGGCCGTTATTCCGTGTGAAGACGGCCGTGAAACGACGGAGGCATCGCGAGCGCGAAAGCAACCGCCGTCGCGAGCTCTCCCGTTCGACGAGGCGTCCGTAGCCCCAGGCGCTGCCGATTCCACGATGGGCCCCAAACGAGCCCGATGCAAGGCCTCGGTGCGATGAGTGAGTACCTCGGTGCGAGCCCCATGGCACGGCGCTAGCCGCTCCCCACTGGCATGGGCCTGTGCGCGGCGCCCACGTGTGCCCGCCGCTCTCTTCATGGCCATTGATAAAGGTAACGTGACGTCACCGCCCAACCTAGCCTTACCTGTGCCTCTATCAGCTCCGACACCGTCAATTTCCATGCCAAACATATTACACTTCGACACCGCATACAAATAACCGCTGTCAAAACAATAGCTTGCCCACAACACTCAAAACTTCGCCTGTAAACATACAACCACTTTTATCAAGCCTGCTGTACTAACAGACACACTCGTTTATTGTTGCATGTCATCAGCTTCTTTATTATGATGTTTGACATATTTCAACCTTCTTTTTGTTAATATAGAGTCTCCAAAACCGATAATGTTTATGCCAGATTTATCGCATCGCATACAAATAGCCGCTGTCATAACATTAACTTGACCACAACACACAAATTTTCGCTAGCAAACATACAATCACCTTTATCAAACCTGGTTTTGCTAAAAAGCACACTCCTTCGTGGTTGCATTTCATCAGCTTCTTTATCAAGATTTTTAAAATGCTTTGGCCTCACTTCTGATAGTTATAGAAACTCTAAATCCATCAATCAAAACATTAGCTTGTCCACACCACACAAATCGTCTCTAGCAAACATTATTTTCTCCTTCATGCTTGCATGTTATCAGCTTCTTTATTATGATTTTTAAGATGCTCTAGCCTCACTTCTGTAATCAAAACATTAGCTTGTCCACAAGATACAAATCATACAACCACCTTGCCTGGTTTTGATAACAAAAACACTTCTTCATGGTTGCACGACATCAGCTTCTTTATTATGATTTTTAAGTTGCTTTAGCCTCACTTCTGATAATCATAGAAACTCTAAATCCATCAGTCAAAACATTAGCTGGTCCACAACATATAAATCGTTTCTAGCAAACATTATTTTCTCCTTCATGGTTGCATGTTATCAGCTTCTTTATTGTGATTTTTAAAATGCTTTAGCCTCACTTCTGACCAGTTATAAAAACTCTAACTCGCAACCAATCAAAACATTAGCTTGTCCACAACACACAAATCGGTTCTAGCAAACATACAACCCCCTTTATCAAGCCTGTTTATGATTACAAACACACTCCTTCATGGTTGCATGTTATCAGCTTCTTTATTATGACTTTTAAGATGCTTTAGCCTCACTTTTCTGCAATGCTTTTCACCAATCAAAACATTAACTTGTTCACAACACACAAATCGTCTCTAGCAAACATTAAACCACCTTTATCAAGCCTGTTTATGATAACAAACACATTCCTTCATGGTTGCACGCTATCAGCTTCTTTATTATGGCTTTTACGATGCTTTTCTCTGCTAGATAGAAACTCTAACTCCACCAATCAAAACATTAGCTTCTCTACAATTCATACAACTTCGCTAAAAATCTTACAATCATATTATAAAAAAGCTCCGGTTTTTGATAACAGCAGATTTCAGTTAAGACAATTACATTCACACTTTTATTCACCCACCAGGTTTATTAATTAATTTTGATTAAATACATAAATATTCTTCAAAGACAACCCTTGGTTTAAGGTGATTTTTAAAGCATTTAAAACACATTGAATGTATCTCCATCCGTATCAACTACCAACACCATAAATTTTATTTAATTCTAAACAAATTTTAGTTAAAACATCGACACAGTGTATAAATATCCACCGTGAAAACCCTAGCTTTTCAGTAAAATCAGTAGAAATTCTATGAAATGAATTTGTAGTGTTGGTAAAAACTATTCTGTGTAAAGCCTGATTTATCATAAATCATTTTTATTAAAAAATAGACGAAATATACAACAAGGAAGGATTGTAAATTTAATTTTAAATAATCGAATATATTTTTATAAAGGACGGAATATTCCTAGAAAGGATTTTTTTTTATTTCAATCTACCTCGGGGCTATAAAGAATAAAACTGGCAGGAATTCGAGTTTTTACATTAAATTTTTATATTAGGTGTCGGCGAAATCAAATTTTGGCCTCTTTCTTCCTTGTTTTCGGCTGCCTGGGGCGGCCTAAAGCTTTATTGTACACCAAAGAGGAGATTTCCGCTATATTCGTCGAATTCAGGGCTGCAATCAATCCTTATAGTTGACTTTCTGGCTCTGGCTTATTGCTTTTTGTTCTCAGATAGTTTGAGTGCTTTATGCAGTTGCAATAAAGCTCATTACCGGACCCTAATTCCTTACAAAGATCAACCGAAGAATTAAAATCTTAATTTTCAAAAGATCATTGTGTTTAAAATGTTGCAGGAACTACAGTAATATTACCACCATAATATGGTAAAATAAAACACAAATACTGAAAAAATTTTATGATGTTTATAAAATTGCCTAGGCCACAATGGCCTACACTGTCGTATTCTAAACATTCTAATTAGTAAATAACACTTCTTAAACTATTTTGTAATGATATGAGTAATAATCTCTATCTTCCTTTTCTTACGCACATAATTTCTATATGTATATGTAAATGTTTAGTTTAAGAACATAAGTCCGGAGATCTTTAGTCTAATAAAATAAAGTAAAATTAGAGTTAGTTTTCTTTTAAAAGCTTCCTGTTTTACAAGATCCCTTGAAGTGTCTTGGGAACAGTATCTATAACAAACCATTAATGACATGAAGAAGCTGTAGAAACTAAAACAACCTAGTTTATTTTTATGTCCCTGTTACTAAAATTTAAGTTTTATATGAATGTGATGAACTGAAACCAAAATAATTTTGTTCAGAAGCTATGTTTTCTTCTATATTATTTAAAAACATAAATTAGAAGACATAAATTAAAAACAGTAATACTCTTATTGTGCTTAAAAAAGCTTACGATGTAATACCTTTTCCTCAAGTTAACTTACACCAAAAATAATTTAAGAAATATCAAACTCGACAGCTTATAGCGCAGATGAAAAGTATATGAAAATATATAAAAAGCACCTACGCCCTGTGAATAAAAGAACGACACCATAAAAGATCTTGCAAATAATAAGGAATATATTTACGAAAGTAAAAATAGACAGGGAATAACAAAATTGGATATAATGCGAAAATCAACAACAGAAAAAGTTTATATTCTGTAAAGTTGCCCTGCGAAAAAATATCGAGCGATCTTTCATGTCCTTTGACTTTCTATTAAATTACCCTTAAAATATTAAGCTAAAAGTTAAATATATACTTTACTGTAAATACATGAAACGGCTTATTTGTATTTATATTGTACAAATATTAATTATATCTCATTAATGAAATAGGAATAAACTGGCGTATTATATTAATTCATTATGGATATTAAATTTATAATCACGGGCAGCAGTTAATTAAGAGATATCATATAAATATAAACTATTAAGCTGGAACATTTGTATTATTATTTAGATAGTCTGGAATTAGTTTTTATTTTTGAAATATTTTTAAGGCCGATTTCAAGACACTTAAAAAATCCAAGCTATACTCGTCGTATGTAGAATATAATATTCTATCAGGATATGTCTCATTTTAGGTTAATATGTCAATATTCTTGAGAAAGAGCCAGGGATAGGCCTCTATTGTTCCGTAGATTTTGACTTAAAGTTGATAAAACAGAACGAGTTGTTCGAGCGTTGAAAAAAATATTAGTAACGGTCTGAAAAAAATCAAATTCTATTTATCGGATGTAGAATTTTATATTCTATCAGGATATGTCTCATTTGAAATTAATATGTAAATACTTTTGATGGAGAGCCAGTGAGAGGCCTGCATTGTTCTGTAGACTTTGTCTTAGAGTTGATAAAACAGTACGAGTTTTTTCAGCGTTGAAAAAAATATTAGTAATGGTCTAAAAAAATCTAAACTATACTTATCATATGTAGAATTTTATATTCTATCAGGATATGTTTCAGTTGAAGTTAATATATCGATATTCTTTAGGGAGGGCCAGGGAGAAACATGCATAGTTCCGTAAATTTTGTCTTAAATTGATAAAACAGTACGAGTTTTTCCGCCGTTGTAAAAAATATTAGTTACGGTCTAAAAAAATCCAAATTATACTTATCGTATGTAGAATTTTATATTTTACCAGAATATGTCTCATTTGAAAATAATATGTCAATATTTTTGATGTAGAACCAGTAAGAGGCATGCGTTGTTCCGTAGATTTTGTCTTAAATTGATCAAACAGTGCGAGTTTTTCCGCCGTTGTAAAAAATATTAGTTACGGTCTAAAAAAATCCAAATTATACTTATCGTATGTAGAATTTTATATTTTACCAGAATATGTCTCATTTGAAATTAATATGTCAATATGTTTGATGTAGAACCAGTAAGAGGCATGCGTTGTTCCGTAGATTTTGTGTTAAATTGATAAAACAGTACGAGTTTTTCCACCGTTGAAAAAAAAATATTAGTAACAGTCTAAAAAAACGAAACTCTTCTTATCGTATGTAGAATTTGATATTCTATCAAGATATGTCTCATTTGAAATTAATATGTCTATATTCTTGAGGGAGAGCCAGGGAGAGACATGCATAGTTCCGTAGATTATGTCTTAAACTTGATAAAACAGTACCAGTTTTTCTACCGTTGAAATAAACAGTAAAAAAGGTCTAAAGGAATCCAAACTATACTTGTTGTATGTAAAATTATTGTATATTCTATTAGATGTCTTATTTTAACCTGATATGTTAGTAGTTTAGAGTCGGGGAGAGACCCTGGAATACATTAATTTGTGTTCTGTGATTAAAAATAATATTTAATCAACAAAATTTCTCTCTGATTTCGAAATCCAATTCTATTTACCCGCCCTCCCCCTCCTAGCATCATAAAATATTAAAATATAATTTAAATGTAGTCTAATTTTCCAGTTCCCATATAATCTGGCCATCGTTAAATTGTTTTTAAAATATATTATTTTAAAACAAATTGCTAAATATCACATTGCCCGTTGCCCGGTAATTCACGATCCATATTAATATATTTCATTAAAGCGACAAACGATAATTATAATTATTTTAAATTGACGTTCAGATATATTATCTAAATTCATCTCATAGGATATGTGTGCTCAAA